AATTCACAATTAACTGCCTAAGCAAATTTGAAGTCTGCTAATGGTGTAACGCATTTTGTCAAATTGATTTTGTTAATTAATCATTTGTGCGTGTTGGGTGAGGGGTGAGGGAATAAAAATATTTCCAGATTCTAACAGGATTATCAATTCTTGTGTGCTTGAAGTATAATCCAAACGTCAATAGTTGAGCAGCCATTCCCACTCTTAAAAGACTCTTTTAAGGAACAATAAGACATACAATTCGTGCATAAATTTCTTTAAAAAATATATCAGAATTTAATCTAACTTGACTGCACACTTAGAAGATTTCCTGTATTACCTACCGTTTTAACATAAAATTTATGGTGCTTGCAAACGTTAAAAGATGGTACATAAATCAAAATACTTAAATTAGAGAAAATTGTCAGTCTGAGATTAATCTCTAATTTTCGTTTATGTGTTCATTCTAGGTGATAAATTGCACTTGAGAAATTAAATTTTACAAAATCCGCCTTGAGTATTCATTTGTGTATGTACTAGTTGATATCACGGAGCTTATATTTACTTCCACGAAGAAAGATTGCAAGAATCTCAGTCACTCAGGTGCTCAATTCCAACTGAACTATTGTTTTTTTTAAAAAAATGGCATTTTGAAATCGCATTCCTCCTGCTTCAAACAAGATACCAATCGCTTATTTTCCACTTGAACATGATTAATGAAACCCAATGAGGCTGCAGAAAAGGTCTGGTATAGATAATCAGAAATGTTATAAAGAAATGTAAATCGATAATTGCTAACTCTATCATTATTTATTTATTTATTTCAAATGGCAGGCGTTATGATAGGTATCATTAGCCCTTTAGTTGACTTCGGGCTTCACAGAAAGGTTGAACATCCAAGTGGTGAAAAGTCGAGAGGGGGACAGAATAATGATTCACAGGCGTAGATACAAAGGTAGAAAAAAGGTGAGGCGAATACTGTGGAATTATTTGAATATGAAATGCAATGGGGTCATGGTATTCTGAAGTCCGAAGTCAACTGCCGATTAATTGCCCAGGGTGTACCACGTGGAGGTAATTCTATCGCACACCCCGCTAACTCCATCATAAAGTTGGTAACAAATTAAACAGGATGATGACAAATATACTATTGTGAAATATGATTTAAAGTCAACAGAATGTTGCTGTTATCGCAACAAGATAAGACATCCAGTCAATCTGATGATCGTTGGAAGAAAGAAGATCTTCAGCATAGATAACATCAATGATTGTTTACTTACAAAAAACGCGCCTTTTAATAACGCTGTACAAAAATCTGAACTTATTTAGTCGAAGAAAACTACTAGACATTACATTGTTTATCATCCTTAAAATGTAGATTTCCAGGGAAATTCTCTTATAATGACTGAAAAATTCGTTTTTAACATCGAAAAAGATTTCAGTGAGTAGAAAAAACAGTGTGAAATCATCAAAGCTGGATTTTAATTATGTAGCTCTAAGAGATTATGCCACAGAGAGTTCTGAGTCTGTCCGGGTTATATGATAATGCAACAAACCGTGACATATTCGAGTATATTTTGGCGGAAATATCTTTAGGCACCACATCAATTCAAATCCTAAAATGCTTAAATTTTGCAAGTCACGTGACGTATGTTAACTAGACACTACGATTCCCATATCGTAGACACTTTCAAGGAGGTAGGAAAAGTTAGGCCTCGAAGCCAATTATGCGTTAGAAATTCACAGATTGTTTGGTAAAAAAGAAGAGTCTCGCTTGGAATTCATGAGTACACACAAGCGAGAGCCATGAGAACTCAGATTCCCTTTTATGCTTTGCTGTTTTTTGGACTGACCTGATAGCGATGGCACCAGAGGCACAGGGAAACGATAGTCACACTGGTGGCAGAGATACCGGCAGTGGAGGTGGTGGAGGGGGGGGGGGGGGGGGGTGGCGATGCGAACGTTCAACTTGAAACAACCACTTCAGCATCCACTACCATTACTCCTTTTTTCGCCGTTTCAGCTCTTTCCCCCATATTTTCTTTGACTTTGAAATTCTAGTTTTTCTACCTAAAGTTTCACAAAATTAAACTTCCCTTTAAACTAATATATTTACAATTTGGAATTCACTTCATTGAATTCCAAATGTTAATTTTATCCATTTTGTCTTAATTTGTCAACAAATTGATTTATGTCGCATCACGATGACTTCATTATCCTTAGTAAATAACACAACGGATTCAGCATTAGTTAACCAAACTTTAATAGATCAGTTGAGTTGGAGAGTGATTGTAGTAACTCATAAACTTTATATCGTTATAAATAAGCTTCGATCTTTATATTCCCTTAAATACAATCGAGTAAAAAGGAAGGTTTTCAATAAAAGTTTTCTCTATTCGAACACAGAAGAAATTTTCTGGAGTAATTTTTAATTAATATTAACAGTTGGCAAGGTATGGAGTACATAATGGGTATTTTACCAATTTCATATTTTGCCTTACTTGAAATTTTATTGAATAATTGGCTAGTGGTCATATTCGCATTTGTATCGAATGGTAATTACAACAACTAAGGTATATTTTATTCTGAATCAACTTCTCTGTGATATAAACTCCATTTCAACGTAGAAAAATATGAGACAATCCACGACTCGAGTTCGAAGAAACGGGTCAGTTTTAGTCATTAAAAACAGCCAATAGAGCAAGTTACTTTTCTCACATCATCTCGAATATGCTGCTAGAGCGGTGTTACTCATCAAAACTTGGCATGTATTTTGGAAATTTTTTGGAGGTTGGTGCTTTCGAGAGAACAAGATTGACTGTTTAGTGGCAAATGATGATAGTGAGACTATCATCACTATTCGACTGAAGTAGGGAGCACAATAAGTAAGAGGTGATTTCTACCTCGTCTTTCCAAACCATACTTTATTACATCTAAATTGGGAAATGAGTTTAATATGATGAAACGTCAACGAAAAAGGTTTACCGGTCCTCAGTTCAAAAGAGCTATGTCTTTCCCAATGCATTCTTGTCAGGCAAATGAGCTTGAACCATTTCACGGAAATTCATAACAAATTTGAAAAAAACTGCTGTTTTATTACTAAGGTGCATTTTGCAATTAAATTCTAATGACGCTGTGAATATAAGAATCTCTTTTGACTCAAATATTCTAGGCAATATCTTGACTCAATTACTTAAAGCACATCGATTTTTGTAAGAAATTGAAGATTACTGCAACTGGGTTCGATCGCTAATTCAGAAAATCAATGAGAGCTGGAAAATTTGTTTCACAAATCGCATCCACTTTTATAGAGTGGTCGAAATTAGATTAAATCATTAAAGCCAATCATTCATTCGAAATTCACATCAAAGGGGCAACCCACACGATTGCTTGATATAAAAGGAGAGGCCTTTTAGAACACATGAATGCACAAAGGGGAAAGAAATGAGAACCCATAGTCTCATATTTGTATTGCTCTGCTTTACTGCCCTGTTGGCGATGGCATCGGAGGCATCATCGAAGAGCAACGGACAAGTTACCAAGAATAGAAAAGAGGGCAAAAATGGCGATAAAACAGAGGATGATACAGGAAAAGACCCAAATAAACCAGGAGGAAGCGACACAGATAATGACGAAGATAACCCAAAACCGCCAATTGATGACAATGGGGGCGCTAAACCTGAAACAACCACCTCATCGTCCACCACCAATGCTCCTTATTTCGTCCTTTCAGCTCTTTCCTTCCTATTTTCTTTGCCCTTGAAAATCTAGTTTCTTTCACCATTCCATCACAACATTTGCTTCTCTCTAATACAATGCAATTGAAATTTTCCTCTCGCTTTCTAAGGTACATAATGTCTAATTCATTAATTTCAATTTAATTTGTCTACTACTGGACTTGCGTTTTACTATCGGGACTTCATTTGAATCTATAAAATTGTCATAATGCGACCATCCGAAGTTGAATAATCATTAACAAGTCAAACGACTTGGAGAGTCATTGTAGTGACAAATAAAATTTATGTTATGAACAATTCGGATGAGGTGGATATAAACTATGAGTTCCATAATCACCCCTAAAGCACCGAGTAAAAGGGTAGGTTTCCAATAAGCATTTTCTCTAATCTTTCACCTCGAAATTTTCTCGAGTAATTGTCAACTGAAATTGTCATTTAGCAAAGAATGGTGTACATGATGGGTATTTTACCCATTTAATATTATGCTATTAATTGAACATTAATTGAATGATTGGCTAACGATCGTGCTCACGTTTGTACCAAATGAAACTTGCCATAACTTAGGTATATTCATTAGTGAAACATCTTCTCTGCAATAGTCATTTTATCTCACTAAGGAAAAAATATGAGACACTCGACAACTGGAGTGCAAATAAACGGGCCAGATTTAGCCATTAACAACAGCCGATAGAGCAAGTTAAATTTCTCCCATCATGTCGAAAATTTTGCACTCAAGTTATCATTCAGGTGGAATCTTGCAGAGTCTTTGGGATTCACTAAAATGTAGTGCCATATTAGTGACAATTATAAATTATCTACTAGTCAGAGCTTAGATTGTAAATGGGCACAAGTTAATTGCTCGAAAAACTCGCACTCCTGAGTTATGGGGTCAATTTTAAAAAGACAAATGTTTGTACGTATCACTAAGAGCATGTAATCTGATTCTAGGCTAATTTAGTTTAGCCTCAATTGATGTTTGGGTGCGCTGCAGATGTGTCAGTTGGCTAGCACCAAACTCAAATTCCCATCCAGTTAATGTGTTTGACATTCTTAAGAATAGCAAAAACTGCAGCTATAAGGGCAGACAAAGGGGAAATGAATATTTGAACTGTAAGAGGGATAAGTATTCCATCAAGTTGTTTGGTTGAAATGCAAAATATATTACACAGGTATTAAATATGAAACACTCATATTTATGTTATTTTATTAAATAGAATGTGCGATCGACTTACCTCCACGTGGTGCACACTGGGCGACGTATAGTCATACGGCAAAAAAAACTATTATTCGGCAGTTGACTTCCAAATTCAGACTACCATGACCCTACTGAATGTCAAATTCGACCACTTCTTCAGTACTCATCTTACCTCTGTCTCTGCCTTTATGTCCCTCTGTCACTTTACATCTGAGAATCGCTCTTCCTTGCCCTCTCTCAAATATTTCTCACTTTTATGATCCTCCCCTCTGTGAAGTCCGGAGTCAGTTAATAGGCTAATGGCAACTATCAAAACGCCTGCCATTCGAAAAAAATAAATATGTTAATGCCATATTCTTGAATTACTGCGGTCCCTGATTAGAGCAAATATTGTTATTGAGCAGTTGATAATGTCCACACCGGTTCAAAGAGAAGACTTGATATGAGAATTTAAGCTGATCAACATTTGATGTTGCTTAAAGATGCAAGACGAATAAAGGTGTTTGTAAGGCAGTGGAAAGCCCCTTCACAATAAATACTAACAATAGAAATGCAATCATTTGACTAGAGCAGTCATCTCACCAGTCGAGTATCGGTATCTTTCTTCATATTCTAAGAACGAGTGAGTGCTTAATCGATCAGGCAATTGGTTGCAGCATAATATTCTACAAGTTTATGTATAAAACACCATGTAAACCTTCAATCAATCGGAGATTGCGTACAATCTGCAATCTAGAATAGCCACTCTGATGTGGATAAAGACCTGCTCTATTATATTTCTTTGGAATTTCGGAGGCCGAAGCAAGATTTCTCATAGGTTCTCATTTCCAGCTGAAATTAGTTTAATTTCCATTGCCTTCTTTCCATGTAGTCCATTCTAAGATTTCCAGACTTTTTAGTAGCCTAACACAAAAAAAGCCATTCATTTAGAATTGATTAGTAAGCTGTCAAAATGAAATATATATGACAGCTTTGATATCTCATTTTACAATCGGCGAGCAATTATTTTCCCAAGTCATATGGAAATCTAATAACCGAAAAATTCATCCTGTGTTAACGAACTATAGAGGAAATCTATTTATAGTTTCTTTGATTTCGTTGTGATTCAGCATCGTATAACTTCAAGCACACTTCTCAATAGCCCGTGCTTGAAAGGCAATTCGCATACGCGTGATGAATCCATAAATCAACGCCATTTTTGAAGGAGAATTTTCAAAGCTAATCGATGTAGGGTGCACTTGTCACTTAATGGAGAAAAATATAGCTCACATGCTGTGTAAATAGATTGCATTCCACGAAGATTATCTTCAATGACCGTCAATTGACGCATTTCGTAAGATAAATGCAAATGATGAAAGGTGGGGAAGACTACAATGTTGTACTTTAATTCAAAACAAATACCCATTTCTTCTCACGAATTATTTGCCGATTTTAATTCATCTATTAAATGTGCATTAAAATCATTTCAAGAATTTATTTTTTCATAATACATCAACGTACGCAGTACATTTGACAATTTACGAGAAACCAAAGATAAATTCTTGATAAAATTTTATTGGAAATAGAATTGATTACTATTTAACACCACTTATCTAATGTGGTGAATCATGTGTTTGGAGTGGTGAAGGGTAGTAAATTGTATTCGGATGCATCATTCTGACATTTCTTTTGTACTTGGTGTACAATGCCGTTCTAAGAAATCTCAAATTTTGTCAAGATGCACCTCTAACTGAGGCGCTATACTGTACCTAATTATAGAGAGTTGCAAATCTTCAATAACAAGTGGCTCCAATCATTGACCTTTACTAATTTCGACAAACTATTTATCAGCTCTAATAAATCACCATCAAGCCAATATATTCAATGGCCAATATTCAAAAACTGCCAGAGATAATCACGAAGTTAAAGGCAGCCTATTTACTGCTGAGAAATCCGCCTGGAATTTGCGCTCAAATAGTGTTGGAGCATACTTTATGGTCAGATTTGATTATCGAATGGAAATGGCAAATTTCATCTAACAGCACTCATTTCCACCTACTTCCATTATTATCTTTCTCTTTGACCCTCTAACTACTTCATATTGATAGTCTATTATTTACAGTCTACATATGCACTTTTTCCATCTGTGTAACTAATTGGTTGGCAATACGTTTTTTGCATTGATAGCAAATAAAGAACCTACCATCTCAAGAGACACTTCTCTTTTCTTTCAATTTGAAAAGAGAAAGTCGTCATATGCCTTCAGGGTTGAAACTCCAATGACAATGAATCACAACTACCAAAGCAGATAATTCGTGAGAAGAAGTGGGTATTTGTTTTGAATCAAAGTACAACATTGTAGTCTTCCCCACCTTCCATGATTCACATCTATCTTAAGAAATGCTTCAATTGACAGTCATTGAAGGTAATCTTCGTGGAATGCAATCTATTTACACAACACGTGAGATATATTTTCTCTATTAAGTACAGCCTACATCGATTAGCTTTGAAAATGTTATTTCAAAAGTTGTGTGGGCTGTTGATTGCACCGTATGTATGCAATGAGTCAAAAGATCGCTCAGCCGGCATTAAGTGGAGATATAGCCTTAAGGATATCTAAAGTGATCACTTTTTGAAAAGACCTTGGTATTCTTCTCTACTAATGTCTAATCTGTCCACGTTTCACAGACACGTATTCCACTGTTCCAAATTTACTGAACAGTTGAATTTTTTTTAAAACATGTGCATATAATCGCCACATGGGTTACCTTTCTTCACCCATCTCAAAGGTCCATATTAAGCTAGACGGTCGCTGACCTGACTGCGAGTACTCAACTAATTATAATGCTGAGGAATCTGAGTTGAAACGCGAGATCTTGGTAGGAATTGGTGTGGTTTCGTTTAAAATTAACATAGAACAGGGTTGTTTTCGGCAATATTCACCGTTTTCATTTATATCACGCACTTGTTCAATTGGCAGTCATGGAGAAATTAATTCATGGAATGCAGTCCATTTGCATAACATCCGAGATGTTTTCGTCTCCATTAAGTGACGAGTGCACACCACGTCGATTAGCTTTGAAAATGATCTTTCAAAAGTGGTGTGGGCTGTTGGTTGCACAAAGGGTGTGTGGTTTGTTTTCCAAACACAGGCGTATGGAGTATTGTATTGGAAGTCTGAAGTGTTGTTAACGCGACGAAAACAATGACTCTAAAAATAAATTCCCCATACATTTCACTATCACACAATGGTATTAACGTTAGTTAATTTGTAAATCGTTTGAAGAATTTATTGTCTCCTTGCTATAAAATGTGGCATGGGCTATCGATTTTTGTAGTTGAATGGGCAAATAAAAGGAATTTTTAATCATCATAAAAAGCAAATATCATTCAGGGATAGAGTAATGAAAGTGTGAAACAGATGATCGAAGGGAATGAGGACGATATTTGTTGCCGTGTGGTAGAATGTTTTCAAGCAGACCATATAGTTAAGTATGTTTACATTCTTTATTGAAATTCAGAGCCCTTTTCAGTTTAAAAGTTACTTTCATTGTGTCAATTGCCACGTGCAGCATTCTAGTTGAAAAAATCAGTCAATTTTTTATTCAAGACTTCCCGTTTCTTCTAGGCCAGTCAAACAATTTGTTTTAACGTTGGCTCCAAATATTCAGGAACCTTCGAGGATGGTCAAACTGAATTTCATCAATTTCTGTTTAGATCATGTCTCTTCCGAAGGAGCTGAATTAACGGAAGAAGACTGCAAATGTTTTTTAGGAATCTTATACTGAGTCTCCGCTTTGGTAGAAAGAACTCTTCTTCTCCTGTCTCGCATTGGTATGTACTTCTTAGAGCAAGGGAAA